ATATGTTCACAACAGTAAGGTTATGCAAGTCAAGATATATTACTAAAACAAACAATATGGTTCATAATAATTACAACATACCGAAACACTGGTAATTAAGGTTTTATATAGAAGTTGGAACGCTGGATTGCCTCATTTTACAGACAAGTTGCGAACAAGTTCGCTAACGCGCGTGCGCTGCCCGTTGCAGCGCGACGAACGATGAGGGCTCAGTCACTAAATAGATACTTTGCAACAGCCTCCTAGCATTTTATATACCGTAGTACTGTTTTATGGTCTGCATCAAAATTATTGGAAAAAAATTGACTCAATAGTAATATTAAATCACGAAGGGAAAACTCATTCTCTCGATCTAGGCCTAGATTCTGTTCCATAACAGTGACGAAATCTAGCCCTACGAAAAGTTTTGTGCATTCAAATTGTATGAATATTTTGGTGGGATTGTAAAGCATGGTATTATTTCGAGCTTCTTGGACTAAAACTTGGGATGTAGGGAAGTTCAGACAATATGATCACGGAGGAACTAGGCTAAGTTTATGAATGATATAGGTACTCAGATCAATGTCACCAGAGGAGCTGCCGCGAAAAGCAGAATCCAAGCAAGGCCGAGCAGGCCTTGATTGCTTAGATTTTTCGCCAAGCGCAGAATTTAAGCAAGGCCTAGAGGCATGCCAAGAGTTTGGTAGAATCAGTCCTTGTTTGATAATGGTTATACATAGGTAAATGAAACTCTTTACTAAGTGGAACCTTAAGCCTATTTATCGATAACAGTACTATTAAGTCAAACAATATTGTACTTTTGATGTCCTAATTTCCCAGTAGGCCTACTGTACATCGTTCTCGTTTCACCGCTCATCGCGGGTGATCTGCATGCAATGCAATGCCAGTCTTGAAAAATGACGTCACGCACATTCTGGCACTTCATTGGGTGATGGTGACGTAATTCCATTTACCGTACCTTTAGCAAATTGAAGTAGAAATACGGTACCGTATCTCTAGCCACGGCGAAAATATATCCTAGAGCCGCCATTGGTGACAGAAGAAACATAAACGTACGATAAACATTAAGACATCCTACCACTTAAAGTTACATATTCTCATCTTTAAAGAATGTAGGCTATTAGACAACACCCGCAGTTCCATGGTCAACACATCACACGTGCTACTATGAATCACTTCTTTATGTATATCGTGGTTAAAACCATCTTTAGTAACTGTTTGAATTCGGGCAAACTGTATTTGAAATTTGAACAATTGAATCCGGAGATAGGGATACCACATGGCATAGTAAGTATAGTATATATCAAACTGAACTTGAACTTTGCTCTTTAATAACTATCATACCTATTACCTTTATCACACGAGCAATGCCTTTCCACAAACACGAAACGACAACAGTACAAGTCAAAGGCTGTCATTTCGGATAACAGAGGCTGGTGTGAATTCATAAGCTAGTTAAATCTGAGTATTATGTCAGGTAATACCAGATTCATACTCGTAAAACATTATTTAAAGACGAAAGGTGAACCAGTTGCCGCAAGCTGGATATAGTTATTCCGAGCCTTAGATCGCTAAACATGCGCATTTTATAGACGGCAGTGAGCCAGCTTCCTGTTTCTTGCGTCTACCTCAATGTCAGTAATTGGACAACGAAGGAGTTACCGTTTCAGAGCGCGCGACCAATGGGAAAACTGCCATTTTTTGATGGATAATTACTTGAATGATCTACACACAGGGGAACATCTACAAGTTACGATTGGTTCGTAGCTGCTGATAACCAACATTTTACAAACCTAAATTTGAAATTGTCTGTTTCGTGTGGGAGTGTACCATTAGAATAATGAATAATTTCTTTTTATAGATATCAAACTCGGTGATATGTCACCATACGCGGCTCCTACGACTATATTAACTATTTGGCCGAATCGAAATAATACCTAAATGCTCAAACGGGATATGTGAGTGGATTAATACACACGACTTCTGCGGAAAAGAATAAGTAGTGCAATTGAACACCAATTGAGCCTCAATCACATCCGTTAAAAAATACATTCAGACTTTTGCAGCATATGCGATTGTTCCGAACTGATATAATGAAATATTTCGGAACTTTGCGTTACACATCTATTCTCGTTCGCAGTTTTTACATTTTCATGTTCGTTGGGAGTTCGTTCTCTGAATTTGGTAAGTTATCTGTTACCTAATATATGTAGCTAAACCATATTTATAGCTTATAGGCCTACCTTTCAGCTGGGGAAATGTGTTACGTAGGCCTATTCCAACATTATTAAATTTTTCGGTTGTCATATTTGTAATTTGTTTAAATATGAAAACTTACCTTAAATCTGTAAAATTTTGAATACTACTGCTACATGCTGTGGTCTAGCTACCGTAGTTAAACATTCGACTACCCAGCGTTTTGCTTACATCTTAAAAAGCCGTTTATTCGGTGGGTCATATTTCGTCTACAATAGCATTACCATTACAGAACAAAAGTCAAACAAAACTTGTCAACTCAGGGATGTTAGCAATCTACCCATATGATTATCCAATGCATGCATACGATTATCCAATGTTTGAAATTAATGTGCAAATTTAATTTCTGTATTTACACAGGTAATGTGACTCCTTCGGTAAACGGAGTAAACAAATATGCGACCCACTGATAGTGTGCATGACATGCATTCGCTTTCCATGTAAACCAGGGCTTATTCAGAGCAATGATTTAGGCCACTTGAATGTAAGGTGTAAATCTATTTTTACCAAAAATTATCATCACCATTACCCTTACTTTCCCGTTGGTATCCTGGCCATTATTACCTTCAATGACACCTTGCATGGTAAATGTAATATCTACAAACGGTACCTTACGCCATAATTATATAGGCCTAGGCTTATATTTAGCCGTGTATTTTGGTAAAATTTTTAGATAAGCAGATATAATAGGTTTATTTACCGGCGGCGTTAACTTTTTATTATCGCTTTGTGTTTGTGTATAGAATCGTTTAATAGCGTTGTAAAATCTCATCGGTGTGTATAATAGGTTACCTGAAGTTGTTACCCAGGATGATCAATGTTGTTCTCGCAATGTCGTAGTGCATAAGGCAATCATTATGTATTCCTTTAGTTCATTGAGTCATATATGGCGGATTTAGCATCCCGGCAACCTTGTATCAATTTATGTGCTTCCTAGTTATAATCTTTCCCTACACTATAGACCTAGTATATCCCTCTGGTCACACAAACACGTTGCGTTTCGTTCGTATTATTGACATTTCCAAGGTATCAGTCAAACTTTAAACCTGACCAATCAGAAAAGTGCCATGAATATGCGCTTGTCCCTCCACCACACGTGTCTATGTATGTGTACGCTGTCCTTTGTAGTTGTAGCAACAGTATATCCGGGGTGGGGTGGGGGGGGGGGGTTGGCGTAAGACAAAGGTCCTTGCAAAAGCCAGAAGAGAAAACATGATGAGTCCTACAATTAAAAATTCCCTCACTAAAATAGATTCCGACACTGCTTCCTCCATTTTGTATCCCATCTGGATTCAGGATACATGACACTGGCTATCTCCTTTTTTATTTATTTATTATCTTGGTCTGTACAAATATCTATGTATAGCCCTTATAGGCCTACTAACAAGTGGATTGCTTATTGATATCAAGAGTTTAGACTTTCCAGGAATTCTAGTTCACTATTTGCATATGGTAGGCCTATGCTTCGCACTTAACATCTGCTTTCATTTGATACTTTCAGTGGCAACGTATTTGGAATAATATAACGTAGGTCTACCGACTCATAATATATTGCCACAATACAAATTGCTCATCCCAAGGAGGAACTAAGTGGCCTACCCCCTTGTTTATGCTCATCAATTATTTACGTTTTGATTTTCGGCCTCACTTCATAAATAGGGGCATATTTACAAGAGACGGTGTTTTTGGATTCCATCTCGTTATTTACCATAAAAAGCGGCTAGTGTGGATGACGGTAAGTTATTCATTCCAAAATCAAAACGTTCCATCTGCTGTCATAGAATCATTCCGACTTTCATCTTCACCTTGATTAACAACTGCTTCCTCAATATGCCTTTGGCTGTAATCTAAGGACTGAGATGTTTGTTTCTGAAGTGGTACTCGGAATGGATAGGGGCTTGATGTTTTGTAACATCAAACATCCGATGTCCTTCAGCTGTATATATTAAGTATGATTGGGATGTCCCTAATGGGTACCACCTTTGCGGTGGGTCTCGAGAGTTAAAAAACTGGGGAAATAACCATGGTACCATGACAAAGATCTAATGGCAAGTCGAAATAATGCAGGTTTTCTCCATTAAAGTGTTCCTGAAGTCTATACATGGTATT